TTATGCAACGGTCTGTTCTGGTGTTTCCATAGAAGTGACTCCTCCGGATTCCAGACACGTTACATTGCTCCCTTCTAAAGGTCGTTCGTCCCCGAACGGCCCAAAGGTTCTCCCTCGGTTTCGATCCCGCGGTGTTAACTGGCAATGTGTTCATTCGGCCTTGCCGTTCTGCCGGCGTCTTCGTGTGGTGTTCGCCTAACCGTATCCACCCGTCTCTTCAGTTGTGCTCGTCTCGAGCAGTTCCATGGTAGGCCGCGAGCCGGTCCAGGTGTACTACCAACATCCTCGACCTCGGGTTCTTTTGGATTCTGTATACCACATCATTTATCCGGGTCACTATTTTGTAAGGACCTTCCCATGATGCTTGTAGTTTCGGCGATTTCCCTTTTAATGTAGACAAAATTTCGTCTATCAGAGGTATATGTGACATTGCTCTCTTACATGCTCTTTTCCATTTCTCTTCATATTTTCCTTCAGATCTCAGATAACACAATAGCACTGTCATGGGGCCCAATGATTGCGCCATTGAGCTGCGTTTCTCAGGTGGAAAAGTGCAGCCTTCCAGTAATATATGGTGGCTTCCATATAATCCATATTTGTAGACAGGAAAAGCTTTCATTCCCTCATCACTTCTTTCTATTGGCATGCTACTACGCCCTAATCTTAGCTCTGTGTATCTTAGCCCGAATCCAACAAAGAAACATAGATATGGTCCTGCTATTCCATACCAATTGTCGTCATCATTGGTATTAAATTTCTTGTATGTCAAATTGAAATTTTCTGCAGTGCTCTCCACTATTTTTATCACTTCTTCTCTCTTGAGTGAATACTGCTGGGAGACATATGTGAGAGTAAAGTCCTTATCTCCTGACTTCTTCTCCATGTTTCCAACAAACCCTGATGCCCTTTGTCTGAGGATATTGTGGCAGGTAAAAAGTATGTTTGTATTTGCATACTTACATTTATGTTGCGCACTGCATCATTTGGTAGTTTTGCCAAAGTAAATATCCTTAAGGCTGATGCCATAATATGTTTGAGCGTCTTTATCTTTAAGTCTGTGTTTAGGGAGATTCGGGGTTACAATATATACGTAACGTTACGTTACAATATATATCAGAAAATATTAGCTAGAACTTAAAGGAACTAATAATACTTAGGAAATTACAGTATACTCTTGTAATTAAGAAAGGGGTTGAGTGGGAGAATATGATTTGCATCCAGAAACTTTGCCGCAGTAGTGACACCACACTTAAAGTCTTAGCTCTCGTACATATTAGCAAGAAAATGGAGTAAATTTCATATTAGCTCTGAATGTCCCCTTTTAGTTCTGCTGAAATATGAAATCTACCATACAGATATTAAAGTAATTTACACATATGTTATCTTGGATTGTGTGCCGTGATCAGAGCAGGTGTTGAAAGTGTCCGCCGTTTTCAAGTAGGCACGCCTCCACCCGCATTTGCATATTCGCCGTGACTCGCTGCAGTGTTTCTTCAGTGATGTTCCTGATTTCAGCCGAAATGTTGTCCTTTAAATCCTGTAACGTACGCGGTTTGTTTGCATACACCCTGTCATTCAGTAAACCCCATAGAAAAAATCCGGGCTGGTAAGGTCGGGGGATTTTGGGGGCCACATTTTTTTAGAGATGACACGATCGGAGAAGAAGCTCTCAATCAGTTCCATGGACATGTTGGACATGTGGCACATTGCTGAATCCTGCTGAAAATAACCCTGTGTAAGTTCCACATCATCCAGCTGCTGCACGAAATCGTAAAAAATACAACAGTATAAGGTGCTGTCCACGGTCGTGTCGAAGAAGATCGGTCCAATGATTCGTAAACCAGAAATGGTGCACCACACATCCACTTTTTTTGGGTGTAGTGGTGATTCAGTAATCTTATGTGGGTTTTCAGATGCCCAGATCCTGGAATTTTGTGCGTTTACATATCCTGATAGGTGGAACCATGCTTCATCACGAAACCAAGTGATATCCAAAATTCTGGGGTTATCGTGCACGAATTCCCGAAACCAAAAACAGTACCGTACCCATTTATCTTTATCAACATCACCCAATTCCTGAGCACTGGTGATCTTGTAGTGATGAAGATTTGCTTTCTTTGCAGCCAGTTGACACGTTGAATAAGAATACCCGGTTTCCTGGCTTAGACGTCATAATGATTTCTTGGGGGACTGCAGTAACCTGTCCCGCACAATTGCAATCGTTTCTTCTGGCATTTCTGGGCCTTTTGCACCACGTTCACTTAAAAGTATCCCGGTCCTTTCCAATTTCTGAGCCGAGGACTATATAGTTGATTTCACTGGCTTCTTGTGAACTCCAAACTTGCTCCTGAATTCTAATTGTATGTTCGCAATCGAACCTGTCACCCAGTATGTGCACACGAGAAACACTCACTGTTCAACAGTGTACTCCACGTCTGTTGCCTGAGCACTGCAGACACGTTTCGGGATTGTCCTTGACCTTGCAGCATAAGGGCTGCCACTTGCCAGATCATGTGCACACCATTCGACTCAGCATGGCCCACGGATTATTATGTCGTAATTGCGATCGGTTACATGCATCACTTGCGGAATTATTAGCAAAGTGGATTATAAGGTGTATGTAAGTCAGCGACAGAGATGTATTAGAGTGTCAAGAGCGTGTGTGTAACCAAGCTGTTAATAAATCAAATCAAACCCATCATTTCATCACACATACCCCCCTACATGTGACAATATATATACACAAATCGCAAAGAAGTAACTGAAACTATGGTTTTGAAACCAATGAAGTCACAATACACTTTACTTCATAGAAGAAACTCCTTTCACTTACACTAATGTTCAGTGTGTTTGATTAGACTTTCATTCTGATTTTAGATTCATGCAATTTACTGATCTGTGAATACACCAAATATTCTATATACCAAAATGACTCTTCAGAGAAGAAAATTGTTCGATTTATGGCTTAAGTCTACTATCCTTTGGACCTGAATTGACATGAACTCCATTGATCCATGCTGTGCAAAGTGTTTATCTTAATCAAGAAAGAGGATTTTTCACCC